CCGGCCCCCTGGTCCTGCTCACCCGGGGCAGGGAGAGGCTCTGGATGCAATTAGGGGCGCGGGGTGGCGGTGGGGGCCGTCTGGCACAGCCCCCCCGGCTCCCAGGTGGGCTTCCGGCAGGGCTGGCTCCCATTAGGGCCGGCGCAGCGGCAGGAGGGGCCCCTCGCCAGCGCGGGCGGCTCGCTGCGATGGCCACGCTCGCCCACTCAAAGGGCCCATTGTGGTCCTCTCCCCACAGATTTTTCAAATTAACATCCCAAATTCCTCCCAAAATTGCTGCTGTGTAAATATTTTCACTGCGAGCTTTGTATATTTTCCAGCCTCGCGAGGAGGAGAGAAGAAAAGTCCCTGGCGGAGCCACGGCCTCACGCCGGGTGCCCCCGGCTGGCCGCCGCCACAGCCCCCCGAGCCTGGCCCAGCCCCGGCGTGTCCCCACACCAGCACTGGCTGCAGGGACCTCGCAGGGCCCTCCAGCCCCTCCTGGCCCCTCGCTTACCCCCTCCTTTGCCTTCGTGATGTGCCCTTCTCCTAACAAAGGTGCAGCACCACCGGGGTGCCCCAAGCCAAAGGTTTCAGGGCGCCAGCCGGGGGGGCTGGAGCAGCACAAGGGGGGCGGTGGGGCTCAGCCTTGGCACAGAGGTGATGGGGACGCTGTGGCCAGGACAGGGCTTGGTCCCCACCCGACACCCATGTCTGCACCCGGGCGGCCCTGCAGGAGAGCAGCGTTGCCCAAAATGGGACTGTCCAGCCCCTGTGGCTTCCTGAATCCCAGCACAAAATTCCCCCTGGCCACTGCCAGCCCCGTCGCATGCCAAGAGTGGCTCCGAGCGGCACATTGTGCGGCGCTGCTAATTCCTCCAAGCTGAATCAGCGCTGGGAAGGATTGCAAAACCCCCTGAAATGGACCCAAAAACAATCCCTCTTGCTAAGCAATCCAGCGGGGCTGGTAACAGAGAGCCCCAGCCAGAGCCACCGGCAGGATGGGGGGGCTTGGTGGGAAGCCATGATGGGAGGAGCCTCCAGCTTCACTGGGGCAAATCCTGCCTGCACCCCAGTGTGGAGGGCTCCAGTCTCCCCAAAAAACACCCCTGGCCCCATGGAAACCAAATCCAGGTCCCCTTGGTCCCCCAGGTCCCTGTGGCCAGAGCAGAGCCTTGAGGGGCCATGTTGCCTTGGTGCCATGGGTCTCCATGCCCACTCCCCAGGATGAGGACAGATGTGTGCCCATCCCACAGCCCCCAGTGCTGCCAGGAAGAGTTTTGGGGGGGCAAAAATCCTGCTGCCTTCCTGGAAAGCTGTGGAGGCCAGGGAGCACCCACTGGCCACAGAGGCCGTATCCCATCTGGGAGTGATTTCGGCGCTGCCATCCCATCGCAGCTCCATCCACAGCACTGGGCTATTTTTAGCCAGTGGAATTATGGGGCAGGCGACGAAGGGCGGGGTGGCTGCCCCCGCCTTAACCTCTTTGTGTATCTGCCCAGCAGCCCCATGGGGATGAGTCCCACTGGGGTGGCACCCAGAGGATTGGGGTGGCCTCTCCCCCTCCTCGTGTGTGAGGTTTGCAGCCCCTTCCCCGTGGATGGCAAGCAGCCACCAGCCCAGGCACCTATGGGATCTGCCCAGGGACTGGGTCAGGGTTGGGGACAGGGATGGATCTGTCCTGCTCAGGGCTCTGCCTGCTGGGGTGGGAGAGACCCCCAAAGCACAAACCAAAAGGGCTGCTAAGCCCCAGGAAACAGCAGTGCAAGGGGTATTGGGGCCAGGTGGGATGAGAGCAGGACTGGTCATCGAGGTCCCATTACAGCGGGTGCCTGGGAAGAGGTGGCAAGGTGACAGTGGGTCCATGTCCTCAGTTAAGCCATGTGCTCTGGTGCACACAAGAGCTGGAGCTGAGAGATGCTGGGGCTACAAGTCTGACCCCAGGACCTGGCTCAGCCACAGGCTTTGGGGCAGTGAGTGGGCACTGGGGGCTGAGCACCCCTGGGCAGCATCCCCAGGGAGCTGCCTGGGCCCCTCCACGTCCTTCTTCGGCTCTGGGTGGGACAAAAAAACCCCAAATCTCTCTGCAAACATCCTGCTGTGCTGACACCCTGCTGTGGGCAGGTCTGGATTCCGGCACTTCCCAGTTCTGTTCGACTTTCCACTGTGAAGAGCAGTGGGGGTCTGGCTGTCCCCATCCCTCCCCATCACCATCCTGCCCCACGGGGATATGCCCAGAGTCAGCACACACCACGGGGACATGGCTCCGTGGGACGTCTGCTGACCCAGGCATCTCGTCCCTACTGATCCAGCCACAGCCCCAAGCTGGCTGCAGCACCCCCAGCCTCCCTGGGGACATTTTCAGGACACCAAAAGATGCAGCGACACAAGGGAGCTGCTGTTCTCCTGCCACCACCGTGGTGACAGCACCGTCCCGGGGCAGTGCTGCGCCGGCCGCTGGGCGCGCGGCAGCGGGGTCTGGTCGGTGACCCCGAGTCGGAGCCAGTAACCCAACCCCACCGGTGCTGGTTACAATTTAGGGCAACAATAACCTATTGAGGCCCCTTCCTGGCTCCTGCCCTGCTGCTCCTTGATCTAATTAAAGGGGGCCAGAGGAGAGACAAAACCTGAGCCGAAGGAATGGCAGGTACCTGGAGGCGGCACATTGAGGACCACGGCACAGAGAGGGGCCAGGGCCACCCACACCTCCCGCCTTCTCAGGGGTCTGGGCATTGGCCCTGGCACTGTCGGGGTGCTTTGAAAATGAGGTTTGTGTGGTTGGAAACAACTCACCTGCTCAGGATTTGGGATGGGAACCCCCAAGGCACATGCTGATGTGGGGGTGCATGGGTCCAGTGCCCCCCACTCTCAGCCCTCTTCCCCCACGGATGCTGGGCAGGGTGCAGCCACCCTGTAGGCTGTGGGCATTGGGGGGTGTGCGCTAGAGTCACCCCCATCCTGGGGCACGCCACAGCCCTGCCTTGGGGTCCCACAGGGACATGTGGTGCCGGCTCGGTGGGCGCGGTGGGGACACAGAGGGGACGAGGTAGGGACTCAGTGGGATGCGGGCTCCCCTTCCTGCCGGCCTGGCGTCAGTAATGAATGGTATGAGTTTCCTGCCCGCCCACTGATTGCTTCCTCAAAGAGCCTCAACGAGCTGCTGCCGCTGCACCCAGCTCCCCGTGCCTGGCTCACGGCATGGCCGGCACTGCTGGACCTGCCTCCATGCCCCACGCCAGGCAGCTGTGGCCACACTGGAGATCCACAGCGGGCACCCAGCACCGCTGCTACTCTGCCATCTCCGGGGGCCACAGTTCCTCTAGCACTGAGCCTGACCCGAGCAGTGCTTCCAGGGGTACCTGGTGACCCCCAAAAACTGCCACCCCCTGCCCCAGCCACAGCTCCAGGGCTCCCGAGTGCCGAGCCCCTGCTCAGGATGGTTCAGCCTGAGGGAGAGCGCAGCCCCCGCTCGGCACCTCCGCCGGGAGCCAGCCCAAATCCCCCTCCACCATTTGTCATCTCCGCCAGATTTACAGGCGGGAGTGGTTGGGGCTGGAAGAGAGGCGGCCCCGGCGCGGCTGGTTAAAGAAAGCACCTCCCCAGCACGGGAGGGTCCCCCCTCGACCCCGCCACCCCCAGCCCCTCTCGTGTGGCCCCACACGCAGCCGCAGGCCGGCAGGGCCCCGGCGTGACGCGCAGGCAGCGCCCGCCAGCGCATTCCTGGGCCGATAAACCCGGCAGCCAAAATAGCTGCAGCCCGCGCCGGCATCGCATCGAGCCGGGCTGGCTCACCCCGGCCTAGCGAGAAGGATTCGGGGTAATTCCCATTGGATTCTCCGCCAAGAGCAATGATGGACCCCAAAGCGTCCCCCTGCTGCCCGCTGTGTGCCCCGGCCTCCCTTGGCAGTGTTCACTCTGGAACTAATGATGGAGGTCACCGAGGCTGCACCGCACGGTTGCCTTTGCCGATTGTGCTGGTGGAGCTGGGGAGCAGGAGGGCTGGGAGCTGCTCCCCCGGGGAGCTCGCAGGAGGGGCGAGCTCACTTGCTCCCACCATGCTGGCACCTCCCCACTGTGCCCACAGCTGATCCTCTCCCCTCCTGTCTGTCCCGGGTGCTGCCAGCACCAACCCTGCTGCAAAAGCTCACTCAGCCCCTTGCCAGAGACCCCATATTGGCACCCAGTAGCTGCTGACCACCCAGCTTGCCCTGGCAACTCAGCCCACCAAGGAGCCAGCTCAGTGTCCAGTGAGGGTCCTGGCATCCCAGTGCTTTGCCAGCAGCTCTGGGAAAAGCCAGTGGCCTCTAGTACATACCAACAAGTAGCATGGCCCAAACCCCCATCCTTGTGGGATGAAGGCACAGCCTCCTCCTCCTCCTGTTTCCTCACCCACACTGTGACACCAGGCCAGCTCTGTGGGCAGCGTGGGAGAGGCCAAGCTGACTCTAACTGGAGCGTTCCTGGCCTTGGCAGTGCCCCACAGACAGGAGACGGCTCCATCATGCCGTGTCAAGAGGCACTGACCCCTTAAGCTGCCAAAGCTCCTCTTCCACTTCCCCGGGGGATGCCTGGTGAGCACCAGCCTGGCCACGGCTGGCTGGGCAGTCACCACGGCACCACAGCACAAAGCCCCACGGCGCCGCTGTGAGCGGGAGGCTGGGGCCGTGCCGCTCCGGTGCTCCAGCAGTGCCAAAGGGATTCACTCGCCCACAGCATCTTGTGGTACCGCCCCAGTGCACACACCCACCCAGCCAGCAGCCACCTCAGACACTGTCCCCAGCAGTGCCATCACCCACCACAGTGTCACAGAGCACCTCTGTGCCCTCCCCAGCACTGCCACCCAAATGGTGATGGGGATGTGCCTGCGCTGTCCCCAGCCTTGTCTGCAGATTTGGACCAAATGCTGCTGGTGCCAGGAGCTCTCTGCCACCTCCTGCTCCACCACCACACTCCCTGTGGGTCCCTGACCATGACGTCCCCACCGCCCGCCCTCCTGCCCCGCGGTGCGTCCCCATCCCTACCCAGGTGAGGTGTCCAGTGCCATGGTGAGCATCGCTCCGCTGAATCGCCGTGTGTCCCACAGCTTCACCTCCCGCTCCCGCATCTGCAGGGATACAGACATGGTGTCAGTGGGCACTGGGGCTGCCCGGCCCTCTCCACAGTGCCACCACCTTCACCACCCAGCCTCCTGCCATCCCAGCAAGGGCCAGGGCGCCTGGTGAGGGGACCTCTGGCTTTCATGCTTTTAGGCCACCTAAAAATCACTTGGGGCCCTGGCACAGCAGCTGCAGGGAGTGGGGCTGGGACATCCTGGTAGTGCCAGGGCCACCTTCCCAGAGAGGACTGTACCTGGCTGAACCCGATGGAGATGAGGCAATCGCTGGAGCCCATCCAGAGCAGCCGGGAGTCCTTGTTGTTCTCGTGTCCCGGGACACTCTGCAAGGCACAGGAGACACGGCTGTCAGTGCTGCTGCCAGCCCTGCTGGGCACATTGCAGGGACATGTGCTGCACCAGCTACAGTTGTGAATCACGCCAAGGCCGAGCACATGGAGCCGAGCGCTGTCTCCCACCTCTGCTGAGAGCTGCTGAGGGGACAGAGCAGTGGGGACAGCCCGCAAGCGATGACAGCCCTGAGCCCCCACCCTGTGCCAGTGCCAGCATGGTTGCCTTGTGGAATGGCTGGCCTGGCTCCCGGTGAGCACTAGGCTGTGGCAGCAGGTAACGTGAGTGTGAAGGGGCATGGGATGGCTCCTGGGTCCCCAGGGCTCTCCCCACACCCGGCGAGGGGGTGACAGGGTCAGAGGAAGCTGTGAGGAAGCTGCTCCATGCCACAGGCACTAGAGGAGGCTTGGCCATGGCCATGATGACAGAGGGACTTACTTCCTCGGCTGAATCCCCAAGCTCTTTATCCATGCCGAATCCCACCTGCAGGGGCTGGGTGCCCCGTGTGTGTCCAGATGCTACCAAAACACATGGCAAACTGAGCCTGGCCACATTCCCCACACTGTTCTAATCCCCTGCACCCTGCTCCACCTCTCGCCTTGGCTGCCCGCAGGACTGGAACCCCCAGCCCATGCCACCACCTCGTCCTGCCCCCCATCCCAGTCCTACCGAGGACAGGAGGGGTAGAGTTTCCACGGGGCTGTCAGCGGGTGCATCCCGGCTCCCATGTGTCCCCCAGATGGGCCCTGCGGTTCCCGGTGCCCAGCAGGAGCCGGCAGCCGGCCCTGGCCCGCGGTGCAGGCAGCGCTGCCGCCCCTCGCTCTACTTGTGCAGCGCCAATAAATGGCTGCTAACGAGTTCAGCGCTGGCAGGGAAAGCAGAGAGCTCTGCCAGAGCCAAACCCACCACGGTGCTTCCGGCACCACCGCGCAGGGCAGGGGGATGAGGCACGGGAGGGGGCAGGAGGGATGGGGGCACTGGGGGTGCCCATGGAGGAGCCCTTGGTGTGAGCACATCCCCCTTGGTGTGAGCACTGTGACCATCAGCCACAGCCAGCAGGGCTCTTCCACCGCGGCAGCCAGTGAGGGGGCACAAAGGTGCTGTATCTCCCACCTCCCCACCAGATAAACCCTGCTGGAGCACCTTTCTTCAGTCCCTCCCAGCCTCCAGCCCCAGAGAGATGCCACTCTCTGGAGAGCACTGGGGTGGGAGCAGGCACGTTGTGCCAAGCTCGTCCTCCCCTGGCTCTGTCACACCAGCACCCCTGCCAGCACAAACATGGCTCACTTGGAAGAGGCAGCACTGGCCGAGCTAAGCCCCGTGCTCCCAGCCACGGGAGCAGGATATGGGGCAGGAGGGGCCCGGCCCTCTCCGCCAGCATGCTGGCAGTGGACCCAGTGCTCAGCAGGGAAAGGACCTGGAGAAGGGAACATGTCCCAGGATCGGTGCCAAGAGGGATGGAAACTCCAGGAGCTGGGGCCAGCCCACATGTCAGCCAGGAGAGCACTTCTGCACCTGAGCTGTGTGCCTGTGGCAGCCAGAACTCAACATCTGGAGATCCCATAGCTGATGGCGCCGGCTCCACGGCCCCGGGGCCCTGCGGGTCCCCTGGACCCCCCGGCGGTGGGCAGCAGCCCCCGGGGCGGTGGCAGGGCTGGCAGAGGGCAGGGCAGTGCTGCGGCGCTCCCAGCCCGTGGTGTGCCGGCTGCGGAGCAGGGCCATGTTTTCTGCATTAGTTCCATCCTGGCTCAGCAGTACGTATGGCAGCAAGTATGCGGGAGGCTGGGCTGCTCCAGGCTCGTTCAGACACCCGGCTGTGCAGATGTTGCCAGAGGTGAGCCGGCGGACAGCAGGCACTCCTGGGGACCCCCCACCCCATGTCCGGTCCCCTGGTGTGGGGGGGTCTCGGCAGGGCCAGGGTGATGTTATCTGGCACTGAGGGTGGACACTGGTGTGGTTTGGTCAGCTCAGAGCCCTGGGGTGGCCATGGGGCTGCTGTGGATCTCTGGGGCTGGCAGAGCTTGGCAGAGATCCTGGTACCCTTCCTGGAGTGATGCTGGAACCCCCCGTGCCCTTGGAGCAGGGGAGCAGCCACAGCCCAAAGGACAGGCATCCCTTCCGAGCTGCTTGTCCCAACAGCAGGCTGCAAGGGGCCCACCAGCTCCAGGCCAGCACGTGGGGATCCAAGGAGGCCTCCCAGTTCCCTGCCAGTGCCCAGGCAGCCCAGCTTCCTCCCACCCATTGCGTGGGTCCAGCCCAGCTGGTTTTGGGCAGCCCAGGCTGGGGGTAGCCTGTGCTCCCTCCTCAGAGCCAGATCAGCTGCATGGGGAGAGTTTCCAGCACCATCCCCCTCCCAATCTCGACCCATCCCTCCCAGCACAGGCTGGGGTAAGGCGCTGGTACCCATGGGGGTCCCCAGCTCTGCTCCCTGTGCAACACTGAGGGGGCTGCGGGGGGGCCAGGCCTGGCGTGTGGGATGCAGCTGTTGGCAGCGATGCAGCGGCGGGGTCGGGTAAGCTGGTAACAGCTGCCCGCAGGGAGCGGCTGCCTTCGGCTGCCTGGGAGAGCCCCACACAAAGCCAAGGCTGCTCCGGCTCCCAGGCGATCCCCGTCTCCACGGGAACCGTCCACCCTCAGCCGGATGCAGGGCAGGGAGGGCATAGCCGTGGGGCTGGACAGGAGGCAGATGGGGGGGGGGAGGCCCAGCTGTGCCCTTGGCAGAGCCCCCGTGGATGGCAGGGGCTGGGACAGCTCAGCCATGCCTGTGGCTAGCAAGCCTATGAGCATGGCTAGCAGCCCGCAGGCATCTGATCCCCGTGGGAAGCAACCCCAGCAGCAGGATCTGCGTGGGCACAGGAGGCACCAGAGCCGGGCTGAGCCATTCCTTTGCCAGCAGGTGCCAGGGCAGGAGGGGTCTTGCCTGGCCAGGGCACTGTGGGGGGCTCCAGGGACTGACGCCCTCCAGCTCCATGCACATGGGGAAGCCATCGCTCCTTCCACACCCTACAAGGCAGCTGGGGGCAGGAGGAACAGATTCCAGGGAGCTGAGGGGGTTAACCACGCACCAAATCCTCCTCTCTGAACAAGAATGTGAGTGATCTCCCTTCCTTGCCAAGTCTGAGTTACTCCAGAGGTGGCCAGGAAAGCAGAGCAGCCTCTCCCAGGCCAGCCCCACTCCTGGTCTCTGCCTGTAGCTCAAGGAGACCAGGACCTGGTCTTTCCAGGGGAGCAAAGGGATCCCATAGAGCAGCAGGGATGCTCCAGTAGCCACCACGCTGTCCCTGCCCACTGCTGAGCGTGGGTGTCTGTGTCATGGTGGGGATGGAGTGGGACAAGCCCCCTCCTGCCCATGTTGCCTCCCTGATCCCACTGGCCAGGGCAGCATCGCTGTGGTGCCCCTGTGACCCAGGGAGCTGGGCATCCTTAGGCTCTGCCTCTCCCACTCACTGCCAGAGCACCCCCCATCTCCACCCAGGATGCTGCCAGCCCAGCAAGGGCAGGCTCCTACCCTGTGGTAGGAGAGTGGGCTCCTACCCAGACAGCCCCTACCTTGGCATGGGTGCCAGGACACAGGACCAGGATGGAAGCATGACCTCCATCCCTGGGTAGGCGAGGGGGAACTCGCTGGCCTTGTGGGGTGGGCAGGCTGCAGCACCCATCAGCACCCATCCAAACCTCCTCTCCCACATCTCATCTCTTCCTGCAGCCTCCGACCCCACCAGCTGTGAGGCTGTTATCAAATCCCAAAACACCTCTGCCCTCTGGAGTAAGAGCCTGCCAGGAGTCCCAGGTCAGACACAGGCTTGGGCTTCCAAAATGCTGGGAGGGAGATGCCAACCCATGTGGGCCTGAGCTGGCAAGGCCATTCCCAGCAGGAGGGACCGGCATCCAGGCCTATCCATCCGGTGCCACCACACACCCACATCCTTTGAGATGCCTCTGGCTCATCCCGAATCCTCCTCGACTTCCCCATGTCTGCCATACCAAGCGGCATTCCTGGGAAGGACGGCCGAGGGGGAAGCGGAGCAGAGGAAATATAAACAGTCCTGTGCAGCTACGCTGGGGAACAGAAGCATGAGAGCGCCGAGTGTGCGGTGCTATAAATAGGCAGCCCAGAGTCAGGCCAACTTTTTCAAAGCTTCCCACGGTCTCCTTGGGAATGTGGGATGCTGTGGACCTTCCCCCAGCCCGGAGGAAGCCGCTGCCGAGGCTGGGAGTCAGGTACCCCCAGGGTGACCCCAGCGTGGGATACCATGATGATGAGGTGTCGGGGGAGGAAGGCTAAAAGTCTCTCTATGTCCTGATGCGCCTTCCACTGACAATGACGAGTGGTCTCCAGCCAGCCCCAGACTGACAGCTGGACCCTGGGCACTGGTGGCATGTTGGGGTCCATGGAGTCCTTCCTGGCTGTGGATACAGCTGGGTCACCCCAACTTGGATCTCCACCTTGCCACAGCATCACCCTGCCACCACAGCGATGCTGCCCGTGGAGACCCTTTTCCTGCTGCATCTCCCACTGTGGCGGGCACTGATGTGACCCATAGGACGGTGGCCATTGTTTGGGAGAAGGGCTGGAGTCCCTCTCCCACCCCTGGGACTTGGAGCTGGGCTGGGACAGCATCAGGTGTGCTTGGGCTGTGAGCCCCAGCTGCTGCCCGTCACCGCGTTCTGCCCCCAGCACAGTCCACAGGGTGGGGGGACAAACCCACGGTGGGGACAAGCCTGCAGGGACACTCTCCCAGCTGTCCCCAGGCACCCTCAGCCCCAGCCCTGCTCATTAAAACAGCTCATTACGACACGAGCAGGAGCGTGTGCCGGCCCGGTGCGCGCGGCCGTTCCCTCGCCCCCGGCCCTGCCGAAGCGCCGGCAGAGGAAGTTTCTCGTGAGAACAGAGCCAGCTCCTCTCCATCCCACACTAGCCGTGCTCAGCAGCAGCCCCACAGCTTCCCAGAGACAGCTCCTGTCCTGGTCGTGTCCCTGTCCCGGGAGCCAGGTGCTGGCCAGTTGCACACACAGCCCCTGGCACGAGCGCGTGGGGGACAGAATGTGGCCCATGGGTTCTGTACCCAGAAGAAGGTGGCCAGGGCAGTGGGCAAGCGGGGATGCCACCGTAGAAGCCCACGCCGTACCCAAATCACTGCCCTGCCCTGTGCCAGTGACCCACCTGGGGATCAGCTGGGGTATGGGCACCTTCCCGGTGCTCCGACTCCCTGCTCAGCACTGTGTCCCCTGTCCCACCAAGGGCACGGCCCGGGGGGACATGGGATGGAGGTTTGGTGGGGTTGGCACAGGAATCACAGGAGGGCGAGGGCAGGAGCAGCGACGCTGAGCCCTGGCAGAGCTGAAGCCGCGAGGGAGAGGATGTGACTCACTTCCAGGGAGAGGGTCAAGGCGAGGAGGGCGACCACCAGCACCTGTGGGAGGGGAGAGCTGGGGCAGTGTGGCCTTGGGAGGGGATAAGGCAGTGCACTCACGAGATTCTTCGGAAGGGCAGCAGAGCTCGAACCTGGACCCAGCCAGGCAGCAGCAGCATGGCTACATGGGGTGGCACAGCAGGACCCACTGCAGCCCTGGCACCTACACTGCCAGTACAGGGGCACCGAGGAGGCACAGAGAGCAACAACAGGGTGTGAGCACAGCCCTAACGCTCAAGTAAGGGCCTGCAACGAGGGGCTGAGCGTCCAGCAGGATGAGGCCACTGCTCTCCCAAGGGAAATCATGGCCCCGGGTACATACCAGGCACCCCACGGGGTCAGCCAGACCCCGTCCATGCTGCTCTCACTGCGTCACACACACACACTGCTACTGGGACATGCTCAAAATAGCTGCCACGGGCGTAGCCGGGAATGGGGGGTCAGGCCCTGGCGAGGGCATGGCTGGGGTGTGGGCAGCCTGCCAGTCGCCCTTGCCACCCACCCTCAGTCCCCTGCCCCATGTGTGCTCCATCCACAGTACCCGAGAGCAGCATCAGGTATTAGGAGGAGAGACCCCTCCTCCCTGAGCCTCTTATTTTAGCTCCTTCTCATTCTTTTCCCCCTGCTCTAAAAAAAGGAATGTTTAATGAGGCAGGCTTGGCAAATTAAGAAAACCAGCCGGAGGAGCAGCCCAAGGCCGAGGCCGGCTCTTGGCACCACAGAGTGCCGTGGAGAGCCGGGGGAGAGCTGGTGGTGCCAAGCCCTCCGCCTGCTGCAGAGGAAACCCAGCCCGCGGCGCCGTGGGGGCCAGCCTAGCTGGAAAAACCATCCCACCGTTCACCTCTGCAAAAAAACAGGCAAATTCTAAGCCAGAAGCTCCTGAGGTGCTGGCACCACACCACGGCTGTGGCATCACCTGGTTCTGTAACCGCGCTGGCCTGGGGGAGAGAAGGAGCGTTTCCAAATTAACCAGCCCTCCAGCAATGGGGAAAAAAAGGAACAATACCCAGGAGTGTTAATCCCCTTGGCTAAGCAAGCTCTGCGCAAACTTCCAGAGGATTTATGGCATTTTAAAGTTTTCCCCTTCAGCGCAGTACTTCTCAAAGACTAAACATCTCCATCCACTCCAAGCTGGCTGGGGCAGGGCCGCAGCAATGAAGGTGCATATTTCTCTTGGCAAACATGGATCCCCGGCCCCGGGCTGGATCAGACAGCAGAGTGAGCTGCCTGCTTTGAACAGCCACCATCATTCACACGTTATTTTTAATAGCTCAGCGAGACAGAGTCCACCCTCCCCAGGAGACTTGGCTCGAGCCCATCGCACTCACGGCTCCGCCGAAGCACTGTTAGACAAGCCGACAGGTCTGGCAGGGGGAGAACTGGGGGGAGGCGGGGAGGGGAGCACTGGGGTCACGGATGGATAGACACAGGATGAATTTGGGAGCAGGGAGTGGGACCTTCCAGCCCTGCCAAGTGGCAGCTTGGAGCAGGAGAGTGTCACGGGGGCCACTGGAGGGCTGGAAGCACTTTGCCCTGGCTTGCCAGCATGTGTCACCACTGGGTTTATGTTTAGATATTGTGGTGAGGTGTTTATAAGGCTGCCTGAAGGGTCAGGGCACCATTTGTACCCACAGGAAGCACCCAGGGGCCTTACAGGAGCTCAGAATCCAGGTTGTGGGCAGGAGCAGATGGAAAGTCCTGGTGCAGTGCTGGAGCACTGGCTCCCTCCAGTTGGTGCCCAGGGTTACCGCTGTGCCTGAGCACAGTGGCTTCCTGAGCCCATGGGCAGCAGGAGAGGCACCAGGAGCATCAGAGCCTGCTGCAGCCATCTCACCCTTCTCTCCACTGCATCCCTCCCTTCAGGCCCACAGCTGTCAGCAGCCAGAGCCCCCAAGCCACAGGAAACCTCTAATAAGAGGCTGTTTGAACTTGACGTCAAGGCTTAAGTTCTCTGCTTATTTCCTAATTGCTGTTATTTGCTGAGCTGTGCAGATCTGGCCGCCCAGCCCTCACCCTTGCCAGGTCCTCATCCCCAAGAGCCTTTGGTCCAGCTCCTGCAGGGCAGGACAGAGCCTGGGGGCCTGCAGAGCCCCGGAGCCCACAGCCCCTACGCTCCCTGGGCTCGGGATTGCTGCCTGCAGTGTGCCAGGGCATGGGGGAGATCACCAAACTGGGTGGGAGGGCACTGGCGCCAAAAAGGGGACAGCCCCATTCCCCCTGCCTTCAGTCCCTGCCTCCATGTTGCTTCTCCCAAGTCCTGCCCCAGCTGGGATGTTTTGGGGGACCAAAGCCCACCCCCCCCAGCAGACACCCGAGTCGGGCAGGGCTGCCTGCAGCACACCCAGAGGGGACGGTACCTGGGAGGCAGCTGGGCTGGCTCGGGGGTCAAAGATCCGCAGTTTCTTGTCCTGGTGAGATAAAAGAAAACAGAGGAGGGTTAAGGACCCTGGGGCCAGTGGGATGTCAGGATGTATTAGGCAGAAGGCTGCAGCAAGCAGCCCCTCTCCTTCCTGCCCATCACTCTCCTGCCTGAAGTGTCTATTCCTATGGATGGCTCGCATTGTGTCCTCCTAGTCCTGCCCCACACTGTGGGCAGGGGTGCACGCCCAGCACCCCCAGAGCCTCACCAGGACCCCAAGACACTCTAAACTGCTCCCAGAGAAGGAGGGAGCCTCCTGAAGTACAGCCAGGGCTGGACATCCTGGCAGTGCTGGAGGGGAGCAAGCCCTCTCCTGCCTGGCACCCCTGCACCAAAAGGGGCACGGGACCCCCTTCACAAGGGCTGGCAGGGCACAGAGGCAGCAGAGGGGTGCCCCGGTGCCAGCCTTACTGCCAGGGTGCTGTTTGGGGAGCACACACTGTGTCAGCCACACGGCACAGCACGGGGGCTGCCCCACATCCCAGATGGCACAGCTTGGTGTTGTACCCTCTGTGCCCAACCCGCACGCTTGGCAGGGGGCTCCAACCACAGCCGGGACTCCAGCTTAGCCCGCACTCTCTGCATCCTTGGCCTCCGAGCGCCATCCCGAGCCCACCGGCTCTGTAGGACCGCCTGCGCCCTTAGCAGGGGCCGTGCTCTCAGCCTGAGGGCTGAGTCTGTGCGCTCAGACCTGCTTGCTCAGCCTCCAGGCATGGCCTGGGGGGCTTCTGGCTCGGACGCTCATCTTGCACACTCGGCTTGCCCGCCCGCCTTGCCCGCCCGGCCGCCGTGCGAGCCCCGCAGCGCGCTCCCGGCGGGTCCCGCAGCGCGTTCCCGCGAGCGGCCGGCGCCATCTAGTGCCGCATCCCAGCGGTACCGCCGACATCATTCCCGCCCTTTCCCACCCCGAAACTTCCCGTCCCTCCACACTCCCCGTCCCTGGAAGTGTTCAAGGCCAGGCTGGGTGGAGCTCTGAGCAGCCCGGTCTAGCGGAAGGTGTCCCTGCCCACGAGATGAACTTTAAGGTCCCTTCCAACCCAAACCAGCCTGATTCCATGAAACCAAGTACACCAGGGTGCAGCTGGTGGCCAGCCCTGTCATGCTGTGCCACAGTGAAGTCGCCCACGTGTGCCACTCACCTTGCAGGAGGTGCCAAGGAGGTGGCCGTCTCGCTTCCAGGTCAGGCTCTGCAGCTGGTCCCCGTGGGAGTCCAGGGCTGCAGGAGGAAAGCAGGGTCAAGAAGGGTCCCTCCCACGGATGGGGCAGAAGTCATCGCTCTTCCACCTGGAACACTTCCCAGGGGAACTGATCTGTCCTTTCTGAAGGGCTGGTGGCAGCCAGGACCCAATGAGACACTGCTGCGTCTGTGCAGGGAGCGTTCCTGCGCTGCTGGAGCCCCACAGGCCTGTGCTGCCACCCACCTCCTCTCCCTCTCGGGTTAGCTGAGGCCTGGGCAAGCAACCACTCACAGCATCCACATCTGCCCACGCCCTGGGACGTGCAGGGAGAGGGACACCCTGGGCAGTACCGGTGCCTTTTACACCACTGCACCAGAGCGTAGGGAGCCTGTGCACAGGCACGAGGGACTGCGGCGCTCCCGGCCCAAAAAGCCACCCCAGCTGCCAAGATCAGGACTTGGGCTCAGGCACCAGCACTGCAGATCGACATTTCGGGCAGTGATGGCCTTGCCTACCTGTCAGGGGCTGCTGCTGCCCCAGGTCCCAGACGGTGACTCCCTTCCCTGCGCCGCTGGCCAGGACTCCATCCGCCGTGGGGTGGAACTGCAGCACGTCCACTGGGCCCCCCCCAGGCCCCAGGGTCAGCCCCGCGCCACTGGGCATGTCCTGGCCGCTCTCGGGCAGGCGCCACACCTTCACCTGCAGCCCCAGGGAGAGGTGGGTCAGTCCCCAGGCAGGTGAGCAGGACCCAGCTGGGTGCCTGGGCTTGCAGCTTTTCCAGGCTTTGGTCCCTGAGGACACCAGGTGAGCCCTGGTTGCAGCTCAGATCCCAGACAGGAGAAGGCTGATCCTTGTCTGACACCATCTGCTCTGTCCCCCACAACCTGGGGATGTCCCACTCTGCTCCCCAACTATGCTCCAACCCACACTCCTCTTACTCCCATCATTCCGACCCCACCTCCTCCAGGACTCCACAGTGAATCCCAGGGACATGCTGGAGGACACGAGGTGTCCCCTTGGGACCCCTATCACTGAGCACTCACCATCTCATCAGCAGAGCCTGTGGCCAGCAGGAGCTGATCGAAGGGTGAGAAGTCAAAGTCTGTGACCACGTCTGGAAGGAGAAGGGCAGAAGTTTGTCCCCACCTTCCCCCCTGCAGACAACATGGCAGCCCCTTCCCTCTTCCCCAGCTTGATTCCTTCCCTACACACACACATGTGGGCAACCAGAGGCAGATCCAGACCCACTGAGGCGTTTTGGAGCAGCTCAGCTTTGCTGTGAGTGCCTGAGCCATCCACACTGTCCATCAGGTCTTGCACCCCTTCGGCAGGGGATGGGGGCCCTGAAGGCATCTCCCTGTCTAACCCATCACCACCCACACGTGGCTACGATGTCCAGATGCACATCCCCCTGAGGCACAGGGAGCAGCACGGACAGCACAAGGCTGGCTGTGCTGACCAGATGCTGGAGGCCATGGCCTGCTGGAGCCATGCTGGTAACAAGGCTCCCTTTGTAACACCCTGGCTTGGCATGCCGGCAGCAGGGACACTCCTCACAGCTCCGGCAGCAGGGCCCTGCGGGAGGAACGCTGGCACCATCAGCAGCAGCCCCTCGGATGCATTTGGCACGCTCGGAAAAGTAGGTCACTGTGTACTTTCCTGCTTCCAGGAGACAGGCCCCAGAGGCACGAAGAGCAGGCAGCTCGCTCTGCTGCATCCGCCTGGGAGGAGAGAAAATCCCTTCCCTGCTATGGAGGCACCGCTCTGGCACAGCACGGCTTCAAAGGGCTCGTGCTAATCCCATTAAGAAGCCATGGATGGTGGGTTGGCTCCCAGGCACCCCTCCGGCACTCCCCGGGAAGCAGCAGAGCTCAGTGGCCGGTTTGCCAACACAAGGAAGCTCCCGGTGCCAGAGGCCGAGGTGGCACAGGCAGGGCATGCTGTGCAGTCCTGTGGCCATGCCAGGGCACACACACAGGAAGGTGGCGCTGGGACTGGGTCCCATCTTGCTGCTCTGGTGTAATTTTGGGAAGTGGGTGTCAGCACACCCCAGGCTGGCACTGCTGCTCCGACAACCAGGAGAGAGGCAACCTGAGGTCCCCACAAACCCTCCCTGTGCCCGGGCAGGAGGCAGAGCCCTGTTCCTCTGCCAGCAGCGATGCTGCCAGTGCCTCTCCCCTGCAGCACTTGCTCTGTCCACGTCAGAGCTGCTGGTCCAGCCTGTTCCTCCCGCCACTGCAGCCAGGTACAGCTGTGGTGATGCCATCCCCAGCCTGGCACTGGGTGTACTGGGAATTTCAGGGCATGCAATGAGTAATGTGGAAAGAGTGCGTAGTAGAGCGTGAGGAAGAGCTACATGTCCAGGCTTTGTTGCAGCTTGAGAGATGAGGGAACATGGATCGATTCGGCTGCAGCCCGGCAGAGTCTCCTGTGGTCAGCACAGCTGCAGGTGCCTTGTGCCTTATGAGCCTCATGAGGGTCACCCTGCCCATGGGTGATGGTTCCCTGGGAATCCAGCAGCTCCCCATGCCCCCTGCCTGGCAGGCAGCCCACCACAGCCTCCAGGGCTGGGACTCAGCACCAGAGCCCCTTGGCACAGCCCACATGAGGCCAAATGCCTCCTGTGGAGGTGGGACCTGACACCCACCTGAGTGGCAGCAGAGCTGGGACACGGTCCTCTTGCCCCCATCCTCGCACTCCAGCGGCACGATGCCCAACACACCTACGGAAGAGGGCACAGGAGCAGGTCACCAGCCACCCACCAGCCTGACCATTGCCTGTGGGATGCTCCCAGGAATCCCCCAGCCTGGGATACAGTGGGGGGCACCCAGCTTTGAAATGCAAGCCAAGAGGTGTGGGACTTGCAGCACTTTTGAGGATCTCAGGGAAAGCCTCCTCCCCTCACCCTCGTGTCTCTGGTGTCCGTGGGGCTGATCCCCCACCCAGCCCCACAGGGACAACTGGGACAAATCCATCCCACCCCATGAGCTGTGCAGGGGACTCCTTGTGCCTCACCTGCTGCCTCGGCATTGAATGCGACCCAGCAGCAGCTGGACTTCACGTGGTTCCCACAGGATGCGATGGAGCCTGCTCGGATACCCCCAATCCATGCCTAGGATGGAGAGGGAAAACCCATGTCAGGAGCTGCCTCTGTTACGGTGGGGCCTGCTGCCATGGCCAGAGCACAGCTGGAGGGGAGACAAGGGAGCATTGGCACTGCATGGCTAGAGACCCTCAGCCCCAGCGGAGCTCCCCTGCCGATGGAGACCTGGAGGCTGCCAATACCAATGGGATTGTGCCAGAGGCACATTTGTAGGGCACTATTCTCTGGGATGGCCAGGGCAATGCGGCTGCTTGTGCTCCCAACGTGAGGTGCAGTCCCTTGCTGGGGTTGGAGGATGGCAGGCAGGAGCATCCTGGCTCCCAGCACTGCCTCTCCCCAGAACTGTCCCAGCCCTGGGCTCTGCCACTGAGGGAAGGGCTCAGAGGACTTTGTGATAAAAACTTATGTCAGGGAGTCTGGGATGGGACAAAAGCTCTTGGGCTGTGAAGCACCACAGGGTCAGGCTGTGGCTGACTGAGGCAGCAAGCTTCCCACATGGACACGCAGTCAAGGAACTCCATGACAGCTCCAATCCAAAATCCCACTGTGCAGCAGTGGGAAACATCCCACTACTACTCCACAGCTGAGCACTGTACCCGTGGGGCACTGAGACACCCTGCATCAGCCAGATCTGCTCAGATATCCGACCTCAAGTGGCCACCAGGACCAGGAGCTTCCCGGCGCACCCGGGGCCAAGTCCAACCCTCGAGCAATGGCAATGGCAGGTGTTTCACGGGTGCCACCATGACTGTGTGCCCATGGCAGCCACTGGCATCACGGAGAGCTGCAGCAGGTGTCTGGAGCAGTGGACACCCCACAAAACCAGGCAGACACCCTCGAAGGGGAGGGAGCTGTGTACATGAGCCCCATTTCCTCTCCTTGCACAGCTTCCTTTTGAGGCCTGACAGGGAGCAGCGGTTCCTGCAGCACTTCCTCCAGCCCTCACAGCTTGGTACAGACCTCTTAACCCCTTACCTGCCAAAGGGAGGTTCCTCTGCCTGCACCTGGTGGGTGGGCAGGGGGCTGCAGTAGGGATGGGGAACAGGTCTGGGGCATGAGCAAGACCCAGGAGGAAGGGTCCTACAAACTGGATCCCATCACTCTGCACTAGTCCCTCGAGGGGGGACACCAGCCACCTCTGGTCCCCAGCTTCCAGGGGTACCACACAGGACCCCTGCACTGAGGTTTCGCAGAGGGACCACTGAGCTGGTCCATCCTGGCCCCACAGCTTCCTTGTGCACAGGCAGGAGCCCTCAAGGAAGTGATCCTTCCCTCAGCCTGCCAGCACGGCCAGGAAAGCATATGGAACCATCCTGGCTACATCCCTAGAACAAACTGTGAGCTCTCAGGGGGCATCTGCCAGCAGAGCCCTGCAGACGCTGCCTGAAGAGACTCAGAGTGATCCCTCATGTTTACACTGCGCTTCCTGATCCGGCCAGGTCAGGTGTCTGCCTGAGCCTCCATAAACAACCCTCTCAGCCAGGGACCCAACAGTGTTTCCCGCCGTGACACCTGAGATGGGTTTTGAGACGAGACATCCACCTCCCACCTCCTGCCCCGCAGAGCTGGGTGATGCGGCCTTGATTCCCAGGGATACGTTTCATGCTGGGTGGCCTTTTGGAAAGGCCACCTTGCACAGTGGATGCCTCCTTGCACACAGGGGCAAGAGCCCACTGTCCCTCAGAACAACCCCACCATGGGAACTGACCCCAGGGCAGTGGTGACGGGGACGTCCCTGCCTGGAGGATGCTGTACCCACACAGCCAAGTGTCCCAGCACCCACACCCCCCAGGCACACACGCTCCGCCCTGCTAGGGGCTCATCTGAACCCTGAGGGTCACAAACATTTGTCCAGCTGAGATTTTGATGACCTGGCACCTGTCCTGCAGACACACCAAGGCTGGCACGCCACGGGGAGGGGGGGATGCTCAAGGCTGGGACAGTGGCAGGGGCCACTACGTCCCCTCCTACAGCTGGAGCTCAGAAGGATGTTTTGGGTGCTTACCAGGTGTGCAGAGTTGTGTGAGCATAGGTACAAGGATGGCTTGGGAAGTTACAGGGAAGGAGTACACTGACATCCAAGGGTTGGGAGCAGCACCAGCCTCACTAATGGTCACGGTGCTGAGGAGATGCTGGGAGTTCCCAGCTCGGGAAGCCCCCAGAAGGGCTGTGTCCTGATAATGGTCCCCAACGAGGCTCATCTGGCATAACCCACCCCTGACCCCATATCTCTGCCAAACCTGCAGGGACAGGGATCCAAGGGAATGCCCTGGCCAAGCTCCACAGCCTTGTGGAGAGCACGGCAGGATAACCTGCTGCCAACACCATGCGAAGAGGTGGATCATGACACTTGGCACGATTGGGGCTGGTTATTCATGGGGCTGAGACGAGCTGGGCACCACATGTTGCCCAGCCTGGCCTCAGCAGTTCCGAGCTGTGCAGCCCATGGGCAGGGTGATGGAGCTCAGCACCATCCCGCGGGGCCCAGCGCTTCCTCTTTGCCTGCGGAAGTGGGGCAGCAGGAGTGGGGTGGCAGGAGCGGGGTGGCGGGAGCGGGGCCCAGCATTTCACGCTCAGGATGCGTGGCTCCCGCGCTGCCCGAGAGGGCCGACCGAGCACAGGTGAAGCACCGAGCCGAGCTGGGGTGGCGGGCAGCAGGAACCGGGGATGAACTGCCCGTGGCCACCCGTGTCCAGCGGCAGGAGGGTGCAGCATCACGGAACAGGTACCCCACGCCAGCAGCTCCCGGCCGGGGGGGCTGCACCGCTCCGGGACAGAGCTGGGGCTCCCCACCAGACCCACCTGCGGAGCGCCCCGGGGCCGGGAGCCTCCGGTGCCAAGGTGTGCCAAGGAAGGGCCGCCCGGGCGATGCACCCTCAGCGCGGCCGGGGGACCCGGGCACGGCCCTGCCACACCGGCGGTGCCGCAGCCGCGGGAGCTTGAGCCGCGCCCTGCCGGTACCGCGGGGCCGGTCCTGCCCTGTCCCTGTCCGTGCCCGTGCCTGTGCCCGCCGGCAGCCCCGGCCCCGCCGCCCCCGCCCGCACGGTACCGGCCGGTCCTACGGCGCTCACCTCCCTGCGGGGCAGCCGGGCCTCGGTGTGCCGGAACTTGGACGCCTTGAAGCGGTTCATGGCGCTCCGATCGCGCCGCACCGAGCCGTGCCCAGCCCAGCCCGGCTAAGCTAAGCCCAGCCCAGTCCAGCCCAGCCCAGGCCGGCCCCGCAGCTCCGCCCGCCCCGGGGCTGCTGCCGGTCCCGCCCTCTGGGTCCCGACACGCCCCCGACACGCCCCCTCCGGACCCCCCGCCCCACGTGTGTCCCGTGTCCCCGCTGTCACCGTGAGCGAGGCACAGACCCCCACCCCAACTCCTCAGGATCCCCATCAGAGCCTCCAGCCCCGGCGTCGGAGTCACTCCGGCGGTGACTGTCCCGAGGGGTCGCCAGCCCCTTCCCTGTCTCCCGCAGAGGGTCGGGGTCACCGGCCCCAGGGGCACCCCGGGTTGTGACCCCCGGCTGTCATCCAGCTCTCCTGCCAGACAAGGGCAGACGTTCCTTCGGGCTCTGGGCAGGGAGGATGGAGGGAGCAGGAAGTTTCCAGTCCCGTGGGCACAGTGTCCTCATCCCCTACAGCCTCGCAGCCGGCAGTGAACAGAGACCTTTGTGTCACACACAGCTGCCGGGGGAGGGAGGAGAAGGGAGCTCTGGATCTGAGCCCACTGAGCCTTCTGGGCCCGGCTGTGCCGTCACCCACGTTTGCTGGAGCCCAGGTCTCACCCATGCTTGGTAGAGCCTGGATGTCACCCATGCCCGGTAGAGACCAGGCCTCTTTCCCTGCTTTCACCCAGGCTGTGACATGCCAGCAGGAGCCGGCAGCATCTGACACATCCCCCACGCTGCTCAGCCCCGCTGCTGCGGCCTCCCACGCACCGCAGGGCCGAACCTCCGCTGAGGAGCGTTCCGAGGCGCCTGGTGACGGAGGTGGGAGAGAGACGCGCTTGGCACGAATTATCCTCCTCCCTAGAGAAAAGCTGCTGCCTCAGTGTGGGCGGTGTGTCAGGACAGGCGGTGTGTCAGGGTGCTGTGTCAGTGTGGGTGCTGTGCCAGGGTGCTGTGCCAGCACGGTGTGTCAGGGCGGTTGCTGTGTCAGAGTGCTGTGTCTGGGTGCTGTGTTATGGTGGGTGCTGTGTCAGGGCAGTGTGTCAGTTTGCACACCCACCTTGCCTGCCTGGCCGCCGTGCGAGTGCCGTGGGTGGGCGCTGTGTCCGGGTGCTGTGTTATGGTGGGTGCTGCGTTTATGGTGGGTGCTCTGTCAGGGTGCTGTGTCAGGGTGCTGTGTTACGGTGGGTGCTGTGTCAGGGTGGGCACCGTGTCACTGCAGTCGCTGTGGTTTCAGAGCCTTTCTTCCCGACCTATGACAATATTTCCCCTGCTAGGAGGACGAGAGCAGCCCTGGAAGGGCGCAGGCCCCTGTCCCAGAGCACCGGGCAGGGTTTCCCAGCCCTGGCTGCCCCAGCGTGTTGCAGGGGGTGGGGCATGGCCGGGCACGGCGGTGCCTGGCAGTTCCCGGCTCACAGGGCCGAACTGTCCCTGCCTCGGCCTCGCCGGGGTCTCTGAGGGACCCCCTGGGGCTCTGAGGGTCCCCGGCGGCTCAGACGGTACCCCCATGCTCCGACCCCGCCGCCTCGGCCGAGCCCTGCGCATGCGCAGCCTTAGCGCCGCCACAGGCGCGGCGCTGCCGCGCACGCGCGGTCCCTCCCTGCCGCGGCTGTGCGCAGGCGCGGCGCGCGGGCCAAGATGGCGGCCGTGAGCGCGTCGCGGTGGGTCGGGGCGGCCGCGGGGCGCGGGGCGGGGAACGCGCGGCCGCCGCTGCTGCTGCTGCTCCGCGGGCTCCGCGTCCCGCCCGCCCGCGCCCCACGCCGCCTCCTGCTGCTCCGAGCTGGGCTCTGCGCCGCGGGTGAGCGGGGCGGCAGGGCAGGGACGGGGGGCGGCGGCGGGGCGCGGGTCCTTCCCCCGGCCGTGTCCCTCCTCCTGCCCGGCCCTCACCGCGGCCCCTCTCTCTCCTCTCCCGCAGGGACGAAACGTGCTGCCGCCGCCGCCGCCTTCCACAGCAGCGGGACCCGCACCAAGGAGGACTATTACCAGGTGCTGGGGGTGCCCCGCACCGCCACCCAGAAGGAGATCAAGAAGGCCTATTACCAGGTGCGTCCGGCCGGGGCTGCGCGGGGACAGGGGCAGAACTGCCTCGCTGCCTGTCCAGTGGCAGAGAGCAAATCCTCCCTTGAGATCCCCGCTGGAGACAAGGGGAGGGAGCAGTGGGACAGCTCAGCACATGGCATTGGGGATCTCTTCCAAAGTGTAGTTCCAAAGTGTAGTCTGCCTGTGGTGTTACCTCACGTCTCCTTCCAGAAGGATCTGGGCTTGCTGGGAGGATCAGGAGCAGTTCCTGTAGTTCCTTACATTGGGTTGATAATGGAAAATGAAGGAATTTAGTTCCCTGAAATAGAGATAGTGTATGCCGAGCTCTGCCCCATGTGTTTTTCCTGGCATGTGAGATACACGGAAGTAAATAACTCCTTGCTTGTCTCTAATGGTTTGTTTTTGTTGTTTAGTTGGCAAAGAAATACCACCCTGACACAAACAAGGATGACCCCAAAGCAAAGGAGAAGTTCTCTCAGCTGGCAGAAGCCTACGAGGTAACAGCAGGATTTCATCGTGATGAAGAGGAGGAAGGGTTGGAGGGCAGATGAGGGGAAACATTTCCTGTAAAACCCTGGCTGTTTTTTGATGCACTTCAGGCTGGAGCACCTCTGTCCCAACGGTGTCTCCAGGAAATTAGTTGGCCCAAGTATCTGATTTAGGTGCTTTGGGCTCTTTCAGTTTGTGCTCTTCCTTAGGAGTAAGTCACTGGCATGGATGCAGCAGTCACTTCCATGGGATTATTGTCAGCTTAAAATAAATAATGAAATAAAAAACCTGTGTTTGAGACAGAGGAACCTTCATTGTGCTTCCCCAGCCCTGTTTTTTTTTAACCCCAGCACTGTTACCAGCTTTCACCTGATATATTAATGACTGATTACGTAATAAGCAAGTTATTCTCGCTTATTATAAATCAGTAAGATTGTCATTTTCCTGATTTTGAGCCAAGAGAGGAAGAAGCAGCTTGTGGTGCTGAGAGCTCAGCGAGCCCTCCCGATGGCGGGAGAGTCTGATAAGCTTGGGCTCGTGGGGGCAGTGCCAGAGCCAGGGATTCTCCAGGGCGCTGGGGGTCCATGCCATGCCCAGATGGCCCCGTTCTGTCCCCCCAGGTGCTGAGTGACGAGGTGAAGCGGAAGCAGTACGATGCCTATGGCACGGCGAGTTTCGAGGCCGGTGCGGCCGGGGCCGGCGCCGGCACGGGGCGGCAGTACTGGAGCGGCGGCCCCTCCATTGATCCCGAGGAGCTTTTCCGGAAGATCTTTGGGGAGTTTTCGGGATCTCCTTTCGGCGATTTTCAGACTGTCTTTGACCAGCCACAGGAGGTAGGAAGTGCCTTTGTTTACAAGTGGAATTAAAAACTCAAAAACTGGGGAGGGATGCACCGGTCTGTCACAGAGCACTCTGGGAGCAAGAGCTTCAGCAGAGAGTTATTTCTGGGAATGTCAGTCTGTGAGTATCCCATGGCACGGGGGGAGAGTCAATTTTTTGATAAGCTGCACCTCCAGACAGAGTTGTTTTTTCTGGACTTGAGCTACTTCCTCTGGTGTTTACTGACACCAGTCAGTGCTGCCCAACAGTTCTGTCGCTGTAGAGGCATCTTTGCTGCTGTGGGTTGATTTGCATATGCCTGCTGTGATCTGTAATGCTAAAACCCACAAAACACCTTGTAACTGTAAACCAGGCCTTCCGGCGATGGGTTTGGCTGCTTAATTAGTTTAATTTTGCAACTTAATTAGTTTAACTTTGCAGTGGAGCCCATAATAGAACGTGTCTTGTTCTTTGTGCTGCAGCTGAATGCTCCTTTAAGTGTTGTCATTCCACGTGCTGTCTTCAAACACCAAGTGTTTCTGGTACTTCTGGCTTTACTAAAAGTGACTTTTTTATTATAAAGAGAATGTCCTCTTATGTGCAGTCATCTTTGCTGATGACTTCACTTGGCAAAGAAAAAGTTAATTGGGGAAGAGCAGCCACTGCCATTGGGATGGAAACCCTTCAGCCTCACTTGTTGCTGCATTCCCATGAAACAAAACCTTTAGAAACAAAAAAAGTGTTTTCCTGAGAGCAGGGAAACACTCGACTTCTATTTTTACTTCTTTCTTTTCTATTTTTAAATCTTGTTGCTGCTACACAGCATTTTCATAAAAATTCTCACTGCTGCCACACAACCTGATGGTTATCAGCCTGGGGTAACCATCACTCCTATAATGTCTGTGATCCTTTTGCACCCCTATTTTATTTATTTGAGATAGATTATTGATTCTTCAGATTAGATGCACAATCACTCAGAAGGGTTTGCCTATCTGTTTCTTCCCCTTGCTCTATTACCTCTATTTTCAGCATTGTTTGGTATTTGGCTTAAACCAATCTGTTTAAGACCCTATCACACATCAGTCACAGATCAATATCCATGTTTCCTATGCAGTATATCATGGAACTGACGTTCACCCAAGCTGCAAAAGGTGTTAACAAGGAGATCGTGGTGAACATCCAAGACTCCTGCGAGCGGTGCGATGGCAAAGGGCACGAACCGGGCACCAAAGTGCAGCGCTGTCACTACTGCAATGGCACAGGCATGGTAAGTGCTTTGTAGGACACCGGTTCTGCTGTGCTTTTCCTTGTTGGGGCAGATCAGTTCAGTCCGTGGTGAAAAATTCTCACCCCGGTCAACAGCTGATCTCGGGTAAAGCCGAGTTAATGTCAACTTGATGCTAATCGGCCCTAGGAAGATTTTCTTAGTGTTAAAGAAGTGCTGTGCTCAGCTGAAAGCACAGGCCTTCAGGATGGATTCTCTGCTATGGTACAAACCATGTTCATGCCACATAAGGGCTCTGAAATTGCTTGGGCATTAAATGGGATCCTTTGACTTGGGGGTGGAGGAAGGTAATGGTAGCTCCAGGGTAACCACGAATTAAGAAGATGCAGGTAATGATGGAGCTGCCAGGCTTTGAGTTTCCATGTGCTACGGTCTGGAGGGCTGCTCTCACAGTTCACTCCAGAGCTTAGTCTCCGTAACGTTTTCCTGGACACTGGCAGTAATTCATGCAAGTGGATTGTCCTTGGATTCCTCAGAACACAGATGTCTGTAGCACTGTAAGGAGCTTTGTTCCTTCTTGTGCTTTAAAGGCTAGAGATGGAAGGTGCTGTGTTTCCCTTCCCCTTGCTTGTAGTAGTGATGGTATTCAGTGGAATTTGGAATGCGCTGGCAAGTGAACCTCATCCAGCTTCTCCCAAGCAGCATCCTCTTAGGATTTCAGAGCCAGCTTTCTGCTCCAGCCCTTGCCAAAGGATATTACTGTCCTTACAGGTTGTTGTGTGTGTGATTAGAACTCGAACGTGCTGGGTGAAAAGTACCACCTTGGTACTCAGTGCTTGTACAACCTGTTTCCCTCCCCAGGAGACGATAAACACGGGCCCCTTCGTGATGAGATCGACGTGCCGGCGCTGCGGCGGCCGGGGCTCCATCATAACCACGCCCTGCGTCATGTGCCGGGGAACGGGGCAAACCAAGCAGAAGAAGAAAGTGATGGTTCCTGTGCCAGCTGGTCAGTGTTGTACTCGTGTGCTGCTCTCTGTTAAATGAATGTAGTTGTTTCCTGCCACTTGGCCAACAGGTGCAAATGCGAGAGCAACGAAAGGAGTTTTGCTGCGGAGAAGTTTGTCAAACAAAGCAGGTCAATGGAATGGGCTAATGATGAGGTGAACCTTCTGGCCATGGATAGAAATGTTTGCTTTGCCTTTCCTCAGCTTTGGTTCTTGTCTGGATCCTCCTAGGCAGGGTTTGAAGAGTGAAACTCTCCAAAGGTTTTGTTGCCATGGGTCTTCCATTTGTCCAGGATAAAGCGTGGGGAGAGGGTGGGAATCCTGAAAGCCTTGGCTTGGCTCAGAAGGGTGTGCTGACGGCCTTCCTCACCAGAGAGGATGAGACAGTGGTGAGACTGAAGACTTCTTTGAGACCACCCTGGGTGAGCAGCCTGGAGTTTTCCTGCAGCTCGTGGAGGCTGCTGTGTTCTTTAACCTGATGCATTTCCCTGAAGAATTCTGTAGGGATTGAACCAATGAGCCTGCTTGGGGCGCAGTGATCACCTCAGAGGTATAAATACCTTCTTCCTTGGGCCACAGCTCCTGTAGAGGGTCACTGTGATGCCTGCTGGGAGATCTCATGCCTTGTGCTCCCAGATGTGCATGTGCTGCGGTGATGGGCAGCTCTTGGGTTTGGCAGGGTTGTAGATACACATGTAACACATGGATTAACACATGAATTATAACCCAAGGTAACATTCCCTCCTGTTCCAACTGCAGGAGTTGAGGATGGGCAGACAGTTCGGATGCCTGTGGGGAAGAAGGAAATTTTCATTACGTTCAGGGTATGTATTGTAAGTTCTATGTGTGTAAGTTGTTTTTTCCCTTCTCAACTGCCTGGGAAGTGGCTGCAGAATGGGCAGAGGAGGAACAGTGAGTGATCCTTTGGAATATCTGAGGTAACACGATCCATGTGAACTTTCTGAGACAGCAGAAGATTTGCATTGTAACAAGGGGGGTCACTTTGAATCTGCTCATGAAGAATCCAGCTGCTTGTTCCAGGACCGGGCCCTTAGGGTAGTGTGAATAAAAATGCAGAGTAGGTTCTTCATGCCTCGAGTTTTTGACTTGGAAATGTGAAGGAGCTGCCTGCAGGCAGGGATGAGGGTGCTGAGGAGGGCTGTGGGAATGCCTGCAGCAGGCTGGTCAAGTGTCCTGCAGATCCACCTTCAGGGCTGCTTTGCACCTGTGCTGTAGCTGGACCTCTTCTCCTTGCAGAATCCTTTCACACACATCTCTGTCAAGGAGAAAATTTTTTTCAACACCTCTTTTGTAGTGCAGGAGGATTTAATTCTCTTTCAGCTTTTGAGGCTACTGCAGAGGTGCTTCCCTCCCTCTTCCCTCCTGGCTTTCTCCTGTTCAGGATACTGGGCAAGGCAGTGTCTGTCTCTGCAGAACCATATTGACACAGATAATTTAATAGCAGCATTAGGGGAGGGAGGTGCTGAGGCAGGAAGCAGGGATCCTCCTAAGCTTTTGGCTAATTATGGTTGTGTTTTTCTAAAAGACCAAATATTAACTCATAGTTCTTAGATGAGCAGTTTGTGGATGGTATAAAGGGTCTGGCTGGTATATTTTCTTCTGAGACCCTTCAGAGCAGTTTACTGGGAGAACTTCGTGGTGGTGTGCTCATTTCACCTTGGAACTTCCCTGCCTTTTAGGTTCAGAAGAGTTCTGTGTTCAGAAGAAATGGAGCAGATATCCATTCAGAGCTCCCAATCTCAGTGGCACAGGCTGTGCTGGGAGGCACAGCCCGATGTCAGGGCTTGTACGAGACAATCAACATCACAGTAAGTACCATTACGTTGGGCATGAATCGATGGGGCAGAGGTGGGGAAAATCTCTGAAGTCTGCCAGTATCATGTTTCAAATTCCTTCAGGATTGAGCCTCGGGTAGCTTGTGACCTGCTGTGTCACAGCTCCTTTCTTGTCACTGTGAAGGGACAGGGAAAGGAAGGGATTGCTGGACAAATCCCATCCAAGGGCTGCAGGCTGTGCCAGGTTCTTTACTCATTCCTTCAAAAGCTCTTCCATCGTTACTGACACAGCTTCAGCATGTGTCCTGAGTGTACCAGAGCTCTCCCATCCTACTTTGAAGCTTGCTGGCGAAGTAGATAATTTTTATAGACACCTAATTACTAATGATTAAACTAGATTAATAAATGTGACATTTGTGTTCATAGATACCCCCTGGTATTCAGCCAGACCAGAAAATTCGAATGAGTGGGAAAGGCATTCCCAGGGTCAACAGTTATGGCTACGGAGACCACTACATCCACATAAAGATAAAAGTCCCTCAGTAAGTAGAGCCAAAGCAAGTTTCTGCAAAATCTTGAACTTCTTGCAAAAAGACATTCAGAATTTGTGAAAATTTTTATTCTTTATGGTTCGTCTCAAGCGCTTCAAGATATTTTGTGATTTTCACTGCAGTGGAGTGAAATGCAGTGGATCCTGTCTCTCCTCTTCCACTGTGTGGTTATTATTTATAGATGGCTCACTGCAGGGATTCCTGGTGTGTTCCTGGTGTGTTCACCTTGTAATTCCAGCACCTGCCTCTGGTGGGTGCTGCTGGAGAAGTTTCAGGAGGGCTGTAGGTACATGTGGCCCCGAGGACAGCCCTAACCATGCGCTGTGTTGGGCCCACAGGAGGCTGACGGATCGCCAGCGAGCCTTAATGATGAGCTACGCGGAGGACGAGACGGACGTGGATGGCACAGTGAACGGGGTCACAAACACAGCGTCAGGTGAGCGGGGGGAACTCCTGCTCCTTCCTGGTGGAGCTGGTGTGGGCGTGCAGAGCGCTTCCTGAGGGTTCCTGGGGTGAGCCAGGGTCACCCCGAGGTGGTGTGACAGCACTGCCTGCCGAGTGTGGTATTTTGGATGTAGTTGTAGTGTGGTGTTAACAGGCTGTAGCACAAAGCAGGGAGGCAGCCTCTTCCCAGGAAGCTTTGCTCCAGTACTGTCAAATCTGTGTGTGAACAGAGGCCAGGGACTGAGGTACTCAGGGTCCTGACAAGCTGTGGTGATGAATGCCTCCTGCTCCCTGGCTCCCTGTGCAGGACTCTCCTTAGAGAGGTAGGAAAAGACAAGGTCTTTCAGGCCAGTTTTCCATGCGAGTCCATCTGCTGTGCTTCTGACTCTGCAGCAGAATGTTTCTCCTGGAATGCTGATGGGAAGTTCTGCTGTCAGGCTGTGCCCTGGGCACGTGGGAGAACCTGGGGTAGGAGTGTCCATTGGTGCCCAGTGTTGGCTCTGGTCAGTAGACAGTGTCCACCGTGATGGAGGAGCAGAGTCAGCTGGGAGCTTTGTGAAGCTGCTCTTCCAGCTCCAGATGGAGAACAGATTCAGCAATTGTTTTAAGTTTCTGGCCTGAGGTACCTGGCAAGGGCAGCAGCTAAAGGCAAAACACATGGTAAAATAGTAAGGAAGGAGCTTTGTCTTTCACTACTGGAAAACAGTTTTTCCTTGCTTAATTGGAACAATGAACTTTTTAAAGCCATTTGGATTCCTTTTTTGGCTTTTAAGACTAGGCAAAGGTGGGAGCCTTTCAGAGCTGCTCAATGATCCCAGGAACTCAGGTCTGCTGTACTGCACACCAAAGCCTCAGGAATATAGGCTCAGGTGTGGGATATTGGAAGGCAGCATCTGCCAAATATTTCCCAATGTTCTGTTTTATAGTGCTTTCCTAATATAGAAGTTATGTCTTTCCCATGTTAGAGTCCCCCCCCATGGGAGAGCGTTCTGAACACTGAACTTCCATTCCAGCTTTTTAAAGGCATTTGTATGTCGAAGGGAAAAAAACACTCTCCAAAGTAATTTTTTTAAAAAGCAAACTTTCAAGTTTTCACCACGATGAAGCAGCAAGGTGGATTAAAACAACCCCCAGTAGATTGGAGTGTAGAGACAGGCTGTTGCTGAAGGTGTGTCCTTGCTCCAGGCAGCAGCAATGCAATGCCCCGGGTGGACAGAGGCGTGTTCTGCCTCGGGATTTCATTCCATTGCATCAGTCTGAGCCCGGCACTCAGCCCTGGGAGGATGGGAAGTGCTGGACTTCGTGTTCTCCGTGTGCAGAAAAAGCTTTAGGAGGATTTTGGGGTCTTTTTATTGATGGATTTACTGTAGAAAAAGCAGATTAGCAAAGAGATCTCCTTTGTTCTTGCTGTAGCCACTTCTGGAGGGACAGACAACTTTTCAGGACCTCTATATACAGGACAATTATAAGATTCCTTATCTGGACACTTGGTCTGAAATACTTGTAGTCTTTTTAATTCTACTTAAAGTTCATTTTCTCCTTAATACTGTTTGTCTGAGCACTGCTTGCAATGACACAAATCAGGCTCCTGGTATGGCTTTGCACTGCTTTGCAAGGACAACCTTGAAACAGGACGAGCTTGTTCCATGGACCACCAGGACAGCTTTTTTAACCCTGTAAAGCCCTGGCTGGCTGTGATCACGTTTTAGTGGCAGACTCAATTCCAGGTGCTTGCTTCCAAAGCCTGTGAGGATTTCCCTCATCAGTTGGAGGGCTGGGGAGAGGGGAAGGGAATGGTGGAACCTGAGCCTGTGGTTGGCTTTTCTGGGATCTCTCCAGTGCCAAGTGGTTGTGTGTATCTTACTGCCATGTGAGGATGCAGCACAACCAGCTGCCTTTGCTTGACCATTCCCTGTCTAAAATAACCCTCTGGTACTGGTGGGAGATGTCTCTGACTGCGGCCCTTTGCTGTTTGTGTCCAGGTGGCAGGGCCAAGGCTAGCGCTGCTACAGGCGGGGATAGGCCTGAGGCTGAGGAGAACAAGGAGGGATTCCTTTCCAAACTTAAGAAAATGTTTACCTCCTGACACCCCATCTGAGGTAGGAGGCCTGTTGTGTTTCACTGTTGTCTTTCCCCCACACTGAGCACTTCTTGGGAGCACAAAAAGGTTGCTTCTCACTTAGCCTCAGGCCTTCCAGCCGCGGGTGTGCAAAACCCTAGCTGTGCCCTGGGACCTGGAGCAACAAGGCAGGGATTTAACTGCATAGATGCTGCACAGATGCTGGGTGCATCCTTGGGGAGGTGGCTGGGCCTCCCCTGCAGCTCTGCTCCTGTGTCCACCCAGTAGCTGTGCCTGGTTCTGAGCACAGAGGTTGTTCCCATTAGCTGGTCCCACTGAGATGGGTTCTGCCACACAGAGCCCAGCCTTGCCAGAGGCACAGGGGTGCCAGCACACTGGGGCTGGACTCGCCCTTGCTACAGGCTTACAGCACCAGGGAGGAGTCAGCCTTTGTCACAGGGCACAGCAAAGCCTTGCCACGCACCAGACCAGAATATAACTCGTGTGCCTTCAGTGAGCCTTGGCTGCTCTGAGCGAGCACTGGGACTTAGAATCATCTACAGCAGACATGGTGTCTTGGATTCCAGGGGCTCAGCTTTGCATCTTTGTAGGCTTCAAGCTTGTCTGTTTGGGGTGGCTGACTGTGACGGCAGGTTGGGAGGGGAGGTGCTCCCAAGTGGGCTGTGTGCCAACTCAGCCAGGAAATCTAAACTGTCCTCTCATTTCAACCGCAGGGAAACGTTCTGCTGGGAACTAGGAGCCAGCAGCAGCAGGTCATCTGTGCAGTTGGGGGTGAATCTTTCTGGCAGCAGGCTCGGGAGAGCACAGGATGTCAGTCGGCAGCACAGCAAGAATCTCAGCTGGAGAGGCCACAGACCACCGAGGCACCAACACCCATCGTGATACAAACCCCCCCCACCATCCAAGGAACTGGCAATGAAGGGAAATGCCAGCTTTGCAGAGATGGGGCTCTCTGGAGGCTGCTCCACAGCCCTACTGCTGCTGGAAGCTTATTGGGTAAAAGTTAAAGTTGAAGTATTATTTAGAATCCAAACCAGAAGAAATGTGAAATAAACTGTCCTTCCAGCCCAGAGCAGAGCAGTTTGCTGTATGGAGCCCAAGTCTCCACCTGCTGCTCACTCAGGTGCCCTTTGCAATGCCAGGTGTGCTTGGTGAACTCACCACTGCTCACCTTCTCCCAGGAGACCTGCTGGGTCAGGGAGGTTTAACCCTGTCTTCACGACAGCCCTGCTGCCCTGCACAGCTCCGAGTGGAATCTCCCTGGGCCTTGTCCAAGCCCACGTGCCCCGGCTCCCTCACAGCCGTGGGCTTTCTCAGCCCTGCTGATTGCCTGCACAGAGCAGTGGTGGCATCTGCACTTTGCCTCAGGTTTAACCCCCAAATAACTAAAGTTACCACACAACTGCTGTCGCTTCTGAACGGGTACAAGTTGATCACCAAGCCCTTTGCCAGTTGGGGACAAAATCTTTTTATTACCTTAGCGCAACACCCATAGCATAAAGGATTGGTCAGAGCATTGTTGTTTTACATGTGTGAGAGTGCAAGTGAGGTGGATCACTCCTTCCAGGTGCAGCTGAGCTCTTGCAGTGAGTATCCCATGGTTACTGTGTTAGTGATACCGAGCAGGTACCATCAGCCCACGTACTAATAACCAGTTAAACGGGGACATGTTGTAGTCTTGCCCTTCTTAATTTGCTGAAATAAAGCACGCGTTGCCTCCTGATTAAACTGTCTGTAAAGTGATTCTGTATCCATGTAAATAAGATGGACTTCATAAAGATATTTAACATGTGCTGTGCCTTGCTGCCTTGTCTACTCTTCCACCTGGTCTGTCACCTGCTTTCCCTGCCCCAGAAATAGGAATGAAGGTCTCTGGGACAAAGAGGGACAGGGGTTGGGTGGCTTGAGCATCTCTTGGGGCTGGGATTGATTTTAAGCACAGGAAAAGCTGCCAAATCCGAGCAGTACCTTAAGCATATAAGGGTGAGGGGGAAGGGGCTTTTCCACTGAGTCTTGGACAGTCTGGAAAGACTTGAGTTTTACTCAACTCATGGGGACAGCGACTGAAATTAGCTCCATGATCCTAAAGTGATGGAAATTACCTCCAGGAGCCCAAGGGTCAGGCCCAGAGCTGTATGACTTGAGGAATCAGGCTCAGCTTTTGTGTTACATACACAGGAACTGACTGCACAGTCCCTGGTTGCAGGGCTCTGTCTGTCTGCTGGTTCACCTGCAGTGCCTAAATCAGGTCCATGGAGAAATCCTTATGCTTTCAGCTTGCTTAGGAGCCTGCAGCAACATTGGCCATGGGTACCTGCTGTGAAGCTGTCCCAAGGTACCTGCCTTGGGGCCCAGGGATACACACCTTCAGCCCACCAAGTGCTGCCCTATCCTCAGAGCTGCCTGGGAAAGGACATGATCCTGGGAAAATGAGCCACCACCACCCTAAAACACCCAGCATGACTAAAGAAACACCTCCCTGAGGACAGTGTGCAAAGGTAGCACTTCTCTCACCTGTCTACCTGTGCTGTGCAGCCCTTCCTACTGTTCTGGTTGCCTAAATAGTCTCAACCAAGCTGCAGGAGCACACGCATGGACCAGCACATGGACCAAGCTCTCCCCAGCTGGGGCAGGATCAGCCTCTCCCTGGAGCACTACTGGGAAGGCAGCGGTGCTCAGGGCACCTGAGCCAGTTTCCCCTACCTGGCACAGAAGCTGAGGAGGAAGAGCAGGGAGGGGAAGGCTCAGAAGGCGGCCTTGTTGTCTGCCACCCACTGCTGGAAAGTGCGGGCCTTGGGGTTGAGCTTCATGGTCAGGGCCACGTTTCGGTCGGGCTTCAGGGCATAGAAACGGAACATGGCAGCCAACTCCTTGGCCCCGGGGAAGTCACGCTTCTCGTACTCCTCCGGTGAGATCTGCCAAGAGAATTGGGGAAAAAGCTCTTTCATAGCCTGCTGGGGCTTTCCCTCAGCCCCTGTGGGGAAGCTGAGGGCTCAGTTAGAGCAGCCTGTCACACCATTGCCACTGGTGAGGAGGGCTCTGCAAGGCACTTCTGCTGGGGTTGAGCAAAGGAAGCAGCCCTGCCTGGCAGGGAACAGCCCTCCCAGCCTAGAGCCAGCACCCAGCTCTGGCACACAGCTGGCCTGGGCATGGAACTGACTCTTCCCTGAGGCAGAGGCCTGGAGCAACTACAAGGGAGCCCTTACCTGAACCAGGGCACAAGCTGTGGCTAAGGATGTCTTAGTTTAACAAGATTACAACTTAGAAATTAAGAAACTTCAAGTGGAAGTGTGGAAAAGGAAAAAAAATCTGAATAAACAACAAATGGTTCAATCAAAAACTTTCAGAAGAAACAAAGTCCCAGTTCCCCAGGTGGAGGGGGAGAAACCAGTGGCAACCTGGGGATTGCTGTGCTTCTGCACTGCGCTGGGGAGGAAAAGAGCTGCTTCTTTGTCCCTGGGCAAGGGGGCAGAACCTGCAGAGAGCACCAGAGGTGCTTGGTTTCTGCTGAAATGCACTTGGTTCTGAAAGCAGAGAGCCACCACACCCCTTGTCCATTGTACTGGCTGCCCGAGGCAAGCCAAAATGCAAACAAGCATTAAAAAGAAGTTATGCAGGGGCAGGGAGTGGCCAGGAGTGCTGTAAGGGTGACACAGCACTTGAGCTAGGAGTGCTGTATCGGTGACACAGCAAGGCCCTGGGGGAAGCCGTGCTGAAGGGAAGGGCAGCAGCAGAGACCTGTTCTATAGGTGCCCATCCCTGCTTCCTCTGGAGACCTCCCACTTCAGTTATCCCTTGGAGCCAGGCACGGGCCTGCCCGGGCACACCTGTGTGCTCCACGAGCAGGAGCTGTCCCAGTGACAATGCCAACAGGGCAGTTCAGGTGCCAGGCTGCGCTCCAGCCGCACGCAGGGGCAGCAGGATTAACCCTGGGCACCAGTGCTGGGCTGTACCAAGCCCACACACTGAGCTGGGAGTCCTACCTTGCTGGCTACCACAGTCTTGCCCGTCTGCTGGGAGAGGATGGCAGCATACTCTGCCTCAGTGAGCTTGCCAGTGCTGAGCCCCATCACTTGGCCGATGTACTCCCCCGGGGACTTCAGTATGGAAACCACAACAGGCCCAACGTCCTCCACGGCCATCCCATCCATCGGGGTGTCCCCCATGGGCAGCTCTGTATGGAGAGATTGATCCCAGCTGCAGTGCAGCCCAGCTCTGAGGAGGTACAGCCGGAGTTTTCAGCACTCAGCCTCTGAACACAGGGTGAGGAAGGGATGAGAGCACCCATCAGTATGGTAAGGATTGAGGTACGAGGCCATGACAGCCAGAGCAGCACCGTGACTCACCTGGATCTGCAGCCTCCCCACCTCCACCATCCCAAATGCAGGCACTTGGGGTGTCCAGAGCCACTCACTGCAGGATCTGCAGAGCAGCCCTTGGCACCACAAACAGGCCCAGGATATCACCGATTTCTTGCAGGCCACCAAACAGGTCTGAAGGACCATAATGCAGCAGCAACTTGCTGTAGTCAAGCCTCTTTACCCCATCAGCCCACAGCCCTGGTGGTTCCTCCACCCCTCAGCCCCTGCATAGTGGGAGCAGACAAGAACACTGTCACAGGACAGTGACCCACAGCTCCTGCTTACCCAGGACAAAGGTGTCTCCCTGCGGGGCCTTCTGTGGCTTGAAGATGGAGATGAAGTTCTCAAAGTAAAACGGCAGCCGGACGGACGTGGCGGGAACGTCAGTTTTCTGGAAATACTCCTCCACCTCACCTTTGCCATCAAAGTGCAGCACCTCCAGCCGGCCCCCTGTCAGCTTGTGCACATTCTCCAGGCCACTGTACACAACGTGGTGCAGCCCCTGCTTCGAGAGGTCGGCCAGTCGCTTTCCCTGAGCAAAGGAAGAAGGGGGCCATTAAGAGGGGAACAGGACATTTGGGGGGGCTCTCATCATCCTCACACCCCCCTTCCCCTTTGCAGCACTGGGCAGAAGGGCAGGATCCAACTCACACCAGCTGAGCACTTGAGCCCTCAGATGGGACCAGGGCTGAGCACACCAATGAACCCAGTGAGTTATGCAGGTGGAGCTGAGTCCTCTCCTTACACCATCCCACTTCAGAAAGACCACACATCCTCCAGCTTTGGTGCTCACCGCTCCACCAAGCACACAAATACCAGCCCAAAAAATCTGCCTGGCCAACATACCTGCCCCAACATATCTTATCTTTTGTTTGCTGCCATCCAGGTGTGGCAATCCTGCCACCCTGGGAAAACTGTCCTGAGGTGAGCACCGCCCTTGGGATCTCTGATACTACAGGATTTTGGCCCCAAAGCCGCAAGTGCAGAGAACTACAGGACTGCAGACAGCAACACACCCAGATCTGCCCCAGGCAGGCTCTGAGGAGCCAAGTGTTCACACTCCTGATAGTCCAACTCCTGGGCAGTGCTTTCTGCCACATATTTAACAACTCCCTGAAGACACCACATCTTGCAGCCACGAGACTGCGAGGGAACAGGGAACAAGTTCTGGCTTTGCAAGAACTGGAACCTGGTGTTCGTGAGGCCTCGGGGCTCTCCTGGACTCAAACCATCGGGGCTGCCATGGCTACTCCAGGAGCTGTCCCATGCTCCCTACCCCGATGCCACACGGCTGTCCCTCCATCCCTGCTCCCCGACCATTCCACGTGTGGTCCCAGTTAATGCCAGCGCAGGTACCTGCTCGATTTCCTTCTCTTTGCTGCAGTGCTCCCAGAAGTTGGTGACAACGAAGGCTCCGTAGGCACCCTGCAAGGCCTGCTCCAGCGATGGCTCATCGTCCTGATCCGCCTTCACCACCTCGGCTCCCCTCCGCTTCAGCTCCTCCGCCGCCTTCTTCCTGGGGCTCCGCGTCACCGCCCGCACCCTGAAGGTCCCATCGTCCAGCAGCGCCCGGGCCACGCTGCCGCCCTGAGCCCCTGAGGGTGCAGCCGGTCAGGGCCTCCCCGGGGCTCCGGGATGCGCTGGGGCCGCGGGACGGAGCCCCCCGGGCAGAGCTCTCCGCCCGCTCCCCGCGATGCAGCTCGGCCGGGCGGGCACTTCTCACCCTCCGGGCCGCCGGGCACCATCGGCGCCTCAGCCCCTCGCCCCCCTCAGGCCTCCCCCTGTGGCACTCACCGGTCGCCCCGAACACCACGATCAGCTTCTTGCCGGCCATGAGGCAGCGCGGGCGGTCCGGGGGGTCTGACAGGGCGAGAAGCAACACGGCCGCGGCTCAGCCCCCGGCCAGGTCCCGCTCGGGAGGGTGTCCCCGGGCACGGGAGGGAGGGAGCGGGGCGGCTGCGGGGCCATCGCCGGTCCCGGCGGAGCCATCGCCGGTCCCGGGGCACCGAGCGCGGATCCCTCACACGGATCCTCACCTCGGCTCCGCTCCAATCGGCTCCTCCCGTCGGAGTTCGGCTCGGTTCGGGGCTAATCGGCTCGGCCCGATTGCGTTAGTTCTCTGTTCGGCTCGGCCCGATTATGTTCGGCTCCGTTCGGCTCTGGTCGTCTCCACCCGACTCCTCACGCACACCTGGGCGGGGCCCCGATGTCCATCCCCCGCCCGGCCCCGCCCACCGCCGCCACCGCCGGCAGGGGGCTCTGAGCTCGAGCGTATCCCATCCCATCCCATCCCATCCCATCCCATCCCATCCCATCCCATCCCATCCC